AATTGCGTTGTGCGATAATTTTTTTTATTAAATGCCCAATTTGATCCCTCAACTTTCATTTTTAGATTCAGTTTGTTCTTTAACTTTAAACATTACTTAAATTGTCCTTAAATTTATTTTCCTGTAACCAAATTGGTCACGGAAGTGCCCACCTGGCATCTTAAGTTGCCACGATTTAACTCTTTAATTTTCAAAAACTTATGTGGAAAAAACACCGAACTCAATTGATGATATAGCAATAACTTATGTTCTACGTCTGCCTCTCGTCTTCTCCTGCCTTCTGTTTCCATGTTGGCTCATTGTTTGCTATGTCCTTGTTGGCTAGTTATAGTTGAATCATATTGTTCTTATTGTTTTTCATTTAAATTCTGTTGTATTTCATGTTTTGTCTCTTCTTTTTTTTGCATGTTCTGATACATCTCCTCGTTTAAGTACAGTTAAAAATGGTTTGATGAAGAACCATCTAAGTTTACATTTGTATCAGACTCAACGATCGGAAAATCTTGATGGGAATTGATGTCAATGTTCAAAGATAGTAGCTGAAGTCAATAAAAAATAAGAAAAAATAAAGAAAGCAACAACATCTCAGAACAAAAAAGTTTCGTGCTAGAAAGAAACGTACGTGTAGTATTGATTGCCTCTTGTTGCATATGTGAGACACTTCATCATCTATGCCCAGCTCTTTGAGTCCAATGAAAATTGGTTTGATGAAGAGTTATTCAAGTTCACATTTGCCTCAAAGCTTTATTATGGTTTATTATGGGATCGGATAATCTTGATCATGAACAATATTCAAATAAGGAAGAACTACTCGTGCACATTCCCTGATAGTAGGAACAATATTGAGATTTAATTCACATAGAGGCATTCATTCCTTTGCCATGACACCAATTATTGAGTTTTAGATGAGCTTCAAGTCTGAGATTACTTGAAAAAGGATTTTATAAACAATTTTGGTGGGAAATTAGAATAAAATTTTGGTGTTATTAGAATGAAATAAAGGCAGAATTGAATTGGAATCAAGATTGGAATTGCAAACAAGTTTTTCGGCCAACAAAATGGCGAATGGAAGAGAAATAGACGAAAGAGATAATGAGAACGGCAGATAGAGTACACAATCAAATAGAAGAAAAGGGTAGGATGGTATCTTTATTTTATCTAACAGTGAAATTAAGGTTAAAAATAATTAATTATTTTCTTAATGCTAGTGAAGAAGTCTAAATTGTGTAATATATATAAATACTGATACATACACTCTCCAAAAGTTACATATTCCGCCACAGACGATTTCTTTTTAGTGTGCTATTAAAATTAACGAAAATTGTTAATTTTAACAACAAAAATTATGAAAACCATCAGTTTTAATGGTACAAATAACAAAAATCATCAATTTTAATGACACACTACAATTTTTTATTAGTATATAACAGAGAAGTGTATAACTTTGGAAGATATATGTATTATTTCCTAATATATATAGGTCACCAAAGTAATTATTAAATTTGAGAACATCAAGAGCAACGAATTGACAATCTCGAGATGCCATTTAATATCCATGAACTATCTTAAAATGAAGGTGAAATGAACTTTAAGCGTAACACAACCTTCAATTACGTACTTCGAAAGTTGAAAAATCCATCCCTACCTTCTTGAAACTTAATTTGCATCATAAATGCTAGAAGTGATGCAGTGAATCAATTTTGTTGTGAGTTTTAATTGTTACTATGTCACTATGGTTTTGGTTCATCGATTGTTGTTTAAAAATTTGTCCATCACAAGGAAGTCCAGCTTTTGCCCTTTTCCTCCCATCATCTGGACGCCTCACATATATCACATGATTCTCATCCCCAACTGCTATCGAGTAGAATGTCCCTCACTAGCTAAAATGCTTTTATACACTCACGATAAAAGTTTGAAGCCGTGCTCTCCCGCTCTTCACGTGTTTTTACTTAAGGACTTAGGCTACGTTTGGGTTACTTTTTTCACCACACTTTCTTGTACAATATTTTATTAAAAGTATTAATTTATTATGAATAAATTAATTTTAATTAATATTTTATCTAATTTAATAATTATATTGATCTATTAAACTCTTTTAAAAGTAATTATGCTTTTACGATTATAATGCTCAAAAAACAATATCCACAGTAATTCAAACAAGAAATTAAACCACTTGCCTCATAAGGAAAAAAAATGGATATCATATGTGTTATCAACTTAAGTTATTTACAGATAATTTTTTTTAAATAAGAAAATTTAAATTCAAATTTTACAATATATGAGTAAAGAGAATTGTCTTTTATTGACAAAAAAATAAAAAAATTTACTTTTTATTATGCGGTATAATTTTTCTATTTTTTATAAAAAAAGGTCACATGCAATTTAACTGTTAGTTCATGCTCGAGGACCCTTTGGAGGGAGGATTAGATGCCAGAACTCCCATTAGAACCGGGTGCACCAGTTGGGTTAAACGCCCAAGTGCGTTAAATGCCCTTTCAAAAGGGGAAAAGGGAAAAAGGTTGAGGATCTTGCTAGTTCCCACAGCTCATAAGGAATCACGTGACATTTGCTTTACAGATAGCATTAAATAGTACTCAATTGTTGATCTGTGGTATGTAAAACCAAAGTAACATATCCAACCCAGGAAAAAAAAAAATGGAAGCCCCAAAAATCAAGATGTCCAGAACATCTATCACAATCATCCGTTGAATGAATCTCAAAAGTAAAGTTCACTTAATGATAGCTGTGATAAACATCTTAATTTTCATATTTATGAGGAAAAAAAAAAAAGAAGAAGAAGAAGAATTTGAACATACCATACCGTCCAGTCAGTGGTCTCACATTCTAACCTTTAGATAAGAGGAAAGTAATTTGCAAAAAGTGAGGGTTAATCCATATTGTATAGCAGATACTGAACTTAAAAGATGGTTCATGCCTTTTCCCTATCTTTAAGAGAGTTTGGAATCCCCACCATCCCCATAATCATAGATATTCAATTATTCATATATGCCAAAAATAGATATCCATTACTTTAGTGTTCAACCAATAATTTTGGATTTGACTTGCATGTTATACAGGTGTGGTGTATTAAGAAATAAAAAAAAATTGTCTCCTATTACACCAAAAAGAATCAAAATAAAGAAAAGAAAGTAAGAAAGGTAAGAAGTTAAATAAGGATATATCTAACCTATGTCTCAAGTTAATGTGCATTTAGTGTGTTATTTTATAAAAATTTTATAGAAAAATATAAAAATAAAACATTATTTTTAAGACCAATACCACTTGAATGGTTTTAATTAAGTAGTTGATAAATTTAAAATCAACTTTTATTTTTTTATATAAATTAATTATAAAAAAATATAATTAATACTATTTTATCCTGTTAAATAAACAAAGAATAGTCTACCAAAGCAATCTCAACATGCTCAAATAAGATCTCAGACAGCTTTCAACACATCCAATTCATAGGTGGCTCTACTATGCCCCCATCTGCACCAAAACTTGCATACAAGGAAAATGGAAAGACACATTTCAAATCTATGTCTATGATAAAATAGAAAAAATAAAATGAATATGTTGCAGACATTAACGGCAGTAGAATTATAAGCCTACCATCCATCTTAGAGTTGTAGCAATAGCATAGATATAGTTGTAGCTAGGTATAGGCTTAATTGCCTCTACCCAACAACTAACCATCTTAATACACATATGAGTTGGCAACACCTACATGCATTAATAGCAACCTCATCCATCTCTTATCCAAAAAGTCACCGAAAATATCATTAGGAAAATTCTAATTTGTGATTGGAAGGTAGAGATTAAGAATGTAATTATTATATCTTTTTTACATTAATTAGTATTGAAAAATACCCGTGTGGATCATTAATTTTACAACCATTAGAAGCATATTTACCCAAAGCCAAGAATATCAAGGCTGAATCAAAAGAGAACATATATGATTGTTCAATGGTTCAAAATGCTATGGATGCCAGAATAGAAAGTTCTTGCAATCACCTTGCTGATGAATATTTATGCAAGATTTCTCATTTTATCTGCATAGATATACTCCAGAGGTGTGACAGAAAGGTCAAGTGTGAACAGTGGATATGTGGTCATGTGTGGTTTAAAAATAAGAAATATAGCACAAATCAAGATAAAGATAAGACCAAAACAAACAAAATGTGGACAAGACCATATTGACATTAAAATAATAATGTCTCTTACTACATGTTTCCAGCTGCCATCAGCATTATAACCACTGATACAATTAAATAATAGACATCATAAATCTTTGTTATTAGCAACACAGGAAACCTGCTGAACACTAACATTACTATATTCTAAAAATAAAAAATAATTTATCATGAATATCAATAGCTTCATCAAGAAGGTGCAAATGCTTCTTCAACTATCTTAATTTTTTATGCAGTACTTCTAGGTCCTAGCAAATAGAATAGCTATCTCCGGGCAATGCTGCTTTCTAAAACCAAAATTATAGACAAATCCTACTGCAAACAGTCTAAACCTAACCTGGAAATAGCAATCTTCAACCTAATAGTAAATTTAACTTATATATAAATTATAATGATTATATAGACAAACAAATCAAGAACAGATATTATCTTCCCTTTCCCACTTCCATCAGAATCAAGATTACCCCTAACAAACCAATTATCAATGTAGAGGATTAACTAGAGATGGCATCCAAAGCAATTACAGGTCTTGGGAGTGAAAGAGCAGAACCCAAAGGGCCTGTTGGGAATGTTGCAATTGATGGCATAGCAACAGGGAGATGGCAGGCAAAGGCCCCTGGCACCACCACAGCAAGTGCAAGCAGCACATAAGTGGAAACTCCCCAGCTTTCTTCTGCTCTCATTCACCATAGCCAGCATCTTCTCCTCCATCAATGGCACCAACAACTCTGAAGCAGACCCATTTACCTCCAAATCAAGAAACAAACAACCAATCAACAAAACCCCCATGAAAAAGAATCATAAAGAAACAAAAAAGGATCAAGATATCAAAGCTAGGTTTTCAAATTTTTTAAAAGGCACTTACTTGAGCCATGCTTGCTTCACCACAACTGACCACATTAGCTAAAAAGAGCAGAGAAATGAGAGAAACAGCAACCCCATAAAGAAATTTCATATTTCCTGAAGTGGGTACAAGTTGTGCTAAAGAAGTAAAGAGAATGTGAATGGGGGGAAATGGGTTTTGATGATGTTTTTGTAGAGGAGCAATGTTGGGTTCAGTTTGATTTGGTGAATCATAAATAAAGCGGTCGCCTATTTTGTTGGTGGCTGGTAATGTTAATTTCATAGGATCTTAAATGGGTTCTTGCTCTTTTCTTCAAGGAAGGGGAAATGGTGGAATTTTGAGGACAGAGAAGGGGGGGGGAGGGGGGGTGGGGGTAAGAGGGAGAGGAAGAGAGAGATTGGTAAAACCTTCCCACAGTCTAGACTCTGAAGTCTGAGTACCAAGGAAAACATATGAATCCTCCACTGTCTTTCTGCTTGTTAATTTTGGTAGTGTATGAAGTTGGAGTAATTGGACAAATAACGTATGCCGACCATGAGAGATGCATCCTCACGTGTCCTCGTGATCATTGGTAAATCAAATATCCAAAACGGAAGGGACCCTCATTGTAACTTCCTTCTTTTCTTGGCAGTTGATTAAAAACCTCAAAATTCAACTCATTTTAACAGGTAAGTAGGTGAAAAACGGGCGGCGAGATGCTAAAGGGCCTGTTTGGAAAAGATATAACATGAAAAGTGATTGGGAAAATACTGTATGAATTAATATGTTTTATAATATTTTAATGAGTAAAAATTAATAAAAAAATTAGTAGAAAATTCATCAAGTAAATTATAAATAAGAAAAGTTAAAAATAAACTTTTTCTTTTGAAAAAGTATGAGAAAAAAAAGTTTACTAATTAGAAAGTATGTTAGGAAAAATAATAATTAAAAATTTCATTTTTATGCTCTTTTTATTATTATAGGATTAAGGTATGAAAATATGTAAATAATTTTATAAAAAAAACTTAAAGAGAAAAGTTTTAACCAATCCAAGAGACCTTAAAAATAATAATAAAAAATAATCTTATCTACCTCCCCTCTTTCTCTCTCTCTCACTCCATCCATTCTCGTCGCTCTTGGTTCTTCTTTTCCCTAGCAGTTGCCTCTCCCCCTTGACGGTTAGGGAGGATAAATAAAAGTTGGATTATCCCCTTTTATTTGAGCATTTTCTTTTTCAAGGGGTTTTTGTCACTCTTATGAAGATAGTGCAGATTTAAGGGTGGATGAGCTCGATTTGATTGCAACAATTTCTTCAGGTGTCATTGACGTGATCAACTATTAAGGTCCTCAACTAATCTTTTATCCAAAACCTTGCAATTGCATGCTAGAAAAGGGTGGTAAAATAGGTGTGGTTACTAGAGGCATTATGAGGTTTAAGGGTAACCTTTCCATGTGTTACATACCAATTTTAATATCTTATGAAATTGCTTGCCAATTTTTAAAATACATATATATATTATTAATACCTTATCTTAAGTACTAATACTCAAAAGCTCTCTACATTTAATTATTCATATTTTTCATAAGCACTGGCTCTTTGCATTAGTGCTATAGGACTTTTTTAGTTTTTTATTTTTTCTGTTTAGCCCATAAGACCAAGAATATAGTTTAAACTATATCTATTTTAATCTTTTTAATAAAATTATATTTTCTATATATAAATAAAAAAAAATTAACACATAATGAATATCATTAAATTTAAGATGTTGAACATTGTTGGGTTGAGCAAGATAAAATAGAGAAATTTTAGGGATTTGCACTTCCATTTTAACATTTACTATTTGATTGATTGACGTAGCTTTTAAATAATTAAATTAACTATGTTGATTAAAGAAAAACTAAAAAAAAAATGTAGAGGACAGTGTATCTTCGAATATAAGTTTTAATATTTATATGTAAGAATTTATTGTTGTAGTTGTAGCACTATTTACAATTATTGAAAATGAAGGTCCAAGTTAATGACTAAAATAGGGACTCTAGGGAAGACAACTTGCAGAAGCCTTCGTTTGCTTAATGACAAGTTATTTCCATTTACTAGTTCACAAATAAATATGGGTTCCAATCCCTCCCCCACCCCCGACTTGTGCTTTTAGTTCGAAATAGATAAAAAATAAAAAAAGGGACTAGAAAACACTAAAATACAGTAATGTACAGAGGACTATGGTAAAGTAACTCAGAGACCAAAATATGAAGTCATCTTTCCTTTTTAGCCAAAAAACATGCAATCATCCAATAATCTACATCCCAATGCTATGTAACTAGAAGATAGAAGTTCCTCATGACTAAGAATGGTTGAAACCTCATAACGTGGTCAAGATAAAAGAACAAGGATACAATAAGAAATTCAACACATCCACACATCCACACATTCAGATGTAGCACATACTATGACAACAGCTATAATGGAAAGAAATTTGCGTCTTAGGTAAACAAAGTTAATATCAAATAGAAATATGGTCTCATAAGACCATTTATGCATGATCCATATCACAAAATCGAGATGATAGACGTATTAGCTTGGAGGAGGGAATTCATGAACTCATGTTGTTACCCCAGCAGCAAAACCAATTGTAGTTCAACTCTGACACCAGATTGAGAGTGACCATAATTTTAAAATTTTGTGGGACTAGTATTATTGCTGTGAATAAAAACTCAACCACTTCAGCTAAGGGACTTTAGAGAAGGGGCATAGGAGGGGGAGAATCCTATTGCTGCAGATGAAAGCTACATATCTAGGAAAGGGAAAAGGTGCATGTGTAAGTTAGGTGGACAGGAAGCATCCATATCCATAGCACATACACCTATAACTCATCCATGTATTGGTGCTACTAAAAAAATGAAAGACGTTGCCACCAAGGGGGTGGCTCAATTCATTAAAGAGCTCGAGGCTCCAATTTGGAGGTCTTAGGTTCTTTGAGTTGGGTGGAGGCAGATTTAGAAAGGGACAACGCCATCCATGTGCATAGCATATACACACTTCTAATAACTCATCCATGTATTGGTGCTACTAAAAAAAATGAAAGCCGCTGCCCTAAGGGGGTGGCTCAATTCATTAAGGAGGTCGAGACTCCAATTTGGAGGTCCTAGGTTTTTTGAGTTGAGTGGAGGGAGATTTCAAAAAGGACCAAGCCTTCCATTTTGTATAGCCAATGATATGAAAGGTGCCAACATCTAACATTCTTTTCTTTTTCCTTTTTTCCAGCCAGCATTATTAGAATTTAGAACACTCTTAAAATGACAAAGGAGATCAGCAGGCAACAGAACAGTGCACAACCTTCTTCAGCCATTAAAGTTTTCTATGATTATACAAATCCAAGTTTATCATTGGATATGATTAAAAATAGAACTAATCATGAAGGTTAATAAAATAGAAAGGACTTCATAATCGTGATTCAAATATACCTTATATGATTTCTTTCAAGGATCTTCACCAGACAACTAGACTATTTTCTGAATCTTGGCATTCCCTGCCTTCTCCGATGCCATCTGGAAGAAGAGCTTGCTCATAAAGATAAAACAATCCCATCAAAGTAAAAATACTAGGCAAGATTTAATTGCAGCATGCAACATGAATACCCAACCATGAGGAATCACCTATAACTAAGATCATCTGTGAGTTTAGAAACATCTGCAGAATTCATCTGATGAGAACATAAGAAACACCATCCAACTCATTTTGTTAGAGAATTGAAACATTTATCCGCAAGAAAAAATTAATCTAAGGGGAAAAACACTGGAGGAAAAAACTTTAGGAATTTAATAGAAGCTAGATGTATATTAGGGAACAAGAAATATTACAGTATAAAATAGGAGCATCCATGGAGATCAGATCAAAGAAGAAGAGGAATGATGCCCCTGCTGAAGACATTATGAAAATGCTGATTCTGCATGAGTTAAAAGCAGGTAAGAACAACTGAACCATGAATTAAACTGGGGATCTGGACTAGAAATTTCAAGTCAGAGCAGCTTGATGAAACTTCACCAAAAACATGGTTGAGGCTACAAAACTGCACAAGAAATTTTATACCTTATACAGAGACAAAGACACCACAAAAATCAGAAGAAAAAGAGAGAGAGAGAGAAAGAGAGAAAACACAGCAGTGGGACAAATGCACTGTTGACATTAGGATTTACCAAATGTGACAATATTTTCAGATTTTATACAATGCAGCAAAGAAAATCAGAGGATTCATCTGATGACCGAATTGAATTTAAGAGAACAGAATCAACTGGAATTAACATGAACTCTACATTTCCAACAACTAGAAATGCAGTTATAGATTACTCTTCCTCCAAAAGATTGAAAATTTGTTGCAGTGTTTATCCCTCTGTGTCAATGTCATCATCACCAGGAGACATTTGTCTAGGTTCTGACAATGATAACCGCCTGGGCTTTGCAGAGCTGGCTTCAAGCCCCTCTGATGATAAATTTAATCCTGTATTCCCTGAAGATGACGCCAAGAAACGCCTAACAGGGGTATCGGTTGGAGATGATGGAGAGTAATTGTATGTAAAAATTCCCATAGGGTGGTGAAACTTGCAACTAGGACCAAATTTGCAGATACCATATCGAGAATAGAAAATGCACACAGGTTCCCCCTGTTAAAAAATTAAGACTGGCCTTATCAACATGAACAATTAAATCAAACAAGAATCCCATTGGATATAAATTATCTAGACATGGTGTAGAGCCTCTACTAGTGTAAAAGCAAGCTCTTGATAACAAGATCAATGAGAATATTCCATCAGAAGCAAATCTATAAAGTAAAATAAATAAAAAGAATGCATTAACCTCAATATAGAAAAATGGCTAGTTGCCTGAAAACTTATAGCTGTTTTAATCAGTACGCAATGGAAACAGTCTTAATGTAGTTTACTCAATATAAACTCAGTAGGAGCAACCCCTTTGGTAGACTCTCCCATCTTTCACTAATCTCTCCTTCAATAGCTATCACTCAACCATTTGTAAAGCCAATAGGCATGATTAAACAAGTTTGCAAATGAAGAAACCTGCTTTTATTCCTCCTAATTTATTTATTTATTTATTTTCTTTAATTCTTAAAAATTGAATCTGTTACTGTTAAAGACTTAAATCTCAGACTTCCTCCTGAATAACCTAATACTATTCTGATCAGGAGAAGAGCAATTCAGGAAGTTTTTAAGCGAACTAATCTCATGGAATTAGGACGTTTAAGTAACTTACGTGATTCACAATTTCCAGGACTTTCTAAAGAGAGAAGTCTGCTTATTTTAAGTCGCTCTTATGTGTGTTTAGAGCTTAGTTTCCTAGATGGACTACTTATTCTATATTTCTAGTGGGTTACAGAATAGTTTAGGACATAAGAGTTTCCATACGGTTTATATATTTTAAACTAAAAGCTTTGATGAATAAATTCTATGACTTATTTGGTTATTGAGCCTTGGATGGTTAGAACTTCTTATCTATCTCCCTACAGCAATCATCATCTCTTACTGCTTCCCTTTTTGTGGAAGCAGATACTTTTTAGTTGCTTTTAAACTATAAAACTTTATTATCATTCTGTAACATATAATGGAAAAAAGAACCCTAATCCTACAAGGTTCTAATCATCTTGAGAAATTCTGAAGAATTCAACCCCCATTTTCCTAATTTTCCTAAACCTAAGCCCTCCAAAGCCATGGCCCATGGAGGGAGAATACTTCAATGTTCAAACCAGTTCTACATCAAGGACTAAAGCAAATTTCTGACACTAATATGTTTTAATTAAAATCGATGAGGCAACACAAGAATCCTATCATTTTAGAAGTTTCAAAACAAGTACATTAATAAACAATAAATTCTTTTGCTTGGTTGTAATCCACACCAAGAAGGTGGAAAGAAACCAAAATAAAAAAGATAAGAAATTACCACTAACAGAATGACTCACCTCACGCAGAGGGAGACCTATAGGACTCAAGATGCAGTCTGGAGGAGGAGGAATTCTCTCTCTTGGATGATGAAACCTACAAACCACACCAAACTTACAATCTCCAGTCTTCATGTAAAATTGGCAGTCCGGCTGACCAGGTCTCTCAGGAAATATATTCTCCCTCTGCAAGGCATAAAACCCAACAGGGACAGATCCAGAACGGTATTGAGAATATGACCCTGGGGAGCCAGCAGCCACTGATTCATTGTGGCGTGGGGTTCCATATAATTGATTGTTTCCAGCAGCTTGCTGCAGGTTCTCTGAAGAGGAAGCTGATGCCAATTGACCCTGGAAAAGGGACAGCCCATAAGAAAGTTATCACATAAAACACAAGGTCCACATGTATAGATGCTTTCTACTAAAATTGAAAAGTAACTTACACATGCCAAAAAGGGGAAAACTGAAAAAGATTGTTACCCAATTACAGCCCTCTTGAAGTTGGGTTCCTGAGAAGGGTGAGTTGGAAACAACTTTACCTTAGCATTTTGTTAAAATGACTGCTTGAGATAGTCAGAAAAAGGGCCCTGTATGCCTAACCCAGGAATATAGCTAAATATGACAGCAAAATGCTGAGAACTTAAATGATTTCTTTTAGCCTTTTGGTGTTGCTAAAAAACACGATGAGAGTAATACCATCTTTAGGACATTTCCTAATATCTATGCTGATAGACTCTCATATACCATCATGAAATAAATTTCCATGAGACAATTGTATGTTTTTCCCACATAGATAATCTATTCCATTAAACTAGACAAAAGTTCAGATTTCAATTGTTTTTTTCTAAACCTGCTTGCAATTCAACAATCACTGCATTTTACCAAAAATTTCCAACTTGTGTTTCCTTTTATCATTTATCCAGATCAGAAAGAAGCAACCAGCAAAATTAGTATCTCTGAAATAAATTTCCTAGATTTGATTTCCAAACATTTCAAAAAAAACTAAAAAGAATGATGAATGATATTAAAACTTCTAGACAAAATAAGCCCTCTTTCAAATTTGCACCAGTTTTCCAGCAGTGCTCACCTGATCAACAATATTACCAGTTTACTAACAATACTCCTAGAATTTAAGCAATACCACTCACCACACTCCCTCTAAGGCTCTATGCTTCAAATGAAATTCCATGAGTCTGAATCAATGATGCAACTAAGAGGAACTAGTCAATGATGGAAATAAACTTTATGTTATTGAACCTCTATTACTGTAGACATCTTGGACATCATTCATTCACAAAGCTAATCAGAAGTTAGTGCCAAGCAACAGAAATTCAAGGAGAGAGCAATACTCTTATGGGGAA